CCCAGCTATGCAGAACTGTGAGTCAATTAGACCTCTTTCCTTTATAAATTACCCAGTCTTTGGTATTTCTTTATGGCAGTGTGAAAACAGACTAATACACACCACTTCACAGTGTATCAAACATAAAAATGCAAATGTACCTATAATCCTTCTTAAATATAAATATTAAGCAAACATATTCTAAGATTTGTATAACTTTGTTTTAAAATTTAAAAACTGTCAGCCACAAACAATTCATTAAAATATGCTTGACAGTGATTTCTCTGCAGAAACAGGAATTCTGCTTATGTGAGATAAAAATGTAAACTCCAAATTGTTTTCAAATGAAATGAAATTTTTACAAATAGTAAACTTAATATTCAATGAATTTGACATGATAATGTTTTTCAGATAGTTCATTAAACATTTCTACATTGTAATTTTGTAGTGTTTTGTAGGTAAATAATATTTTAACTTTTTCAAAAGTTTAAAAGTAGGCAAAATTTTTGCTTCTGGAAATGGTGGGGACTAGGTGATCTGGAACAACTCTCTTGATAAAGGGAATTTAAAATATTGGAAGGTATTTTATAATACATGAAAAATATCAAAGACCTCAAGAGGAAAGTGAGGAATTATCAGGGCAAGAAAAGAGGGTGAATTACAACTCCAAAGAGCTCAGTGATGATAAAGAGTGCTTCTGCTGAGGGGGCATTTGCTGATCAAGAAAATTCAACTACTTTTGGTGTGGCGAATGAAAATTACTCACCTGGAGACTCTTAGCTCTGAGTGACGGGTGAGAGCATAGCAGTGTCCACTTGAGAAGGGAAAGGGAGGTCGTACTATGATAGTATAAGACAAATTATGTTCATTTTGCAAAATAAAAAAAAAAAAAAAAAAAAAAAAACAGAAGAAAGAGTCTCCTGTTGAATGGGCCAAAAAGTGCAATAACAGAAGCACTGATGTTGGCAATGAGGAGGGTGACTAGATCATGCTGACTTACTTTTGCCTGATTATTTGTATAAAGATTTTGAGTTGTGTCTAGAAAAGGCAAGAGTTGGATAAGTGGAGAGGGCAGAAAAGGTTATGAGAATGTGGGGAGAAGGCGAAGAAAGAAACAGGAAGAGCAAAGGCATGAGAGTGACCATAAGCATGATGATTGCAGCGGGTAGCCAACAATGATTGCATACATAGGGAAGTTAGTTTGAGAGAGCAATAAGTAAGATTGTATGAATAGTGTGGGCCTAGATTATGGTGAAAACTGTTTAGCAACATAATTTAGGTTTAGTTTGATGGTTAATGGAGAGCTAATTTAAGTATTTCTGCCTACATCGTCTTCAGTGATATAAGAAAGTGGTGTTTTAGGATGAAAAATTAGCTAACTTTTTCTTTAGTACTTTCCTTCTTCCTGGCAGTGAGTTAACAGTAATAGGTAAGAAGGTGGCCTCTGGAGGCTAGCAGCATCCTGATACCAAAGCCTGACAGAGACACAACAACAACAAAAAGATAATTTTAGGTCAATATCTCCGATGATACTGGCAAACCTAATCCAGTGGCACATCAAAAAGCTTATCCACCATAATCAAGTTGGCTTCATCCCTGGGATGCAGGGCTGGTTCAACATATGCAAATCAATTAATGTAATCCATCACATAAACAGAACCAATGACAAAAACCACACGATTATCTGAATAGATGCAGAAAAGGCCTTTGACAAAATTTAACAGCCCCTCATGCTAAAAACTCTCAATAAACTAGGTATTGATGGAACATATCTCAAAATAATGAGAGCTATTTATGACAAACCCACAGGCAATATCATACTAAATGGGCAATAACTGGGAGGATTCCCTTGAAAACCGGCACAAGACAAGGATGCCCTCTCTCACCACTCCTATTCAACATACTGTTGGAAGTTCTGGCAAGGGAAATCAGGCAAGAGAAAGAAATAAAGGGTATTCAATTAGGAAAAGAGGAAGTCAAATGGTCCCTGTTTGCAGATGACATGATTGTTTACTTAGAAAACCCCATTGTCTCAGCCCAAAATCTCCTTAAGCTGATAAGCAACTTTAGCAAAGTCTCAGGGTATAAAATCAATGTGTGAAAATCGCAAGCATTTCTATACACCAATAACAGACAGAGAACCAAATCATGAGTGAACTCCCATTCACAATTACTACAAAGAGAATAAAATACCTAGGAATCCAACTTACAAGGGATATGAAGGGCCTCTTCAAGGAGAGCTACAAACCACTGCTCAATGAAATAAAAGAGGACACAAACAAATGGAAGAACATTCCATGCTCATGGATAGGAAGAATCAATATCGTGAAAATGGCCATATTGCCCAAAGTAATTTATAGATTCAATGCTATCCCCACCAAGCTACCATTTACTTTCTTCACAGAATTGGAAAAAACCACTTTAAAGTTATATGGAACCAAAAAAAGAGCCTGCATTGCCAAGACAATCCTAAGCCAAAAGAACAAAGCTGGAGGCATCATGCTACCTGACTTCAAGCTATACTACACAGCTACAGTGACCAAAACAGCATGGTACTGGTACCAAAGCAGAGATACAGAGCAATGGAACAGAACAGAGCCCTCAGAAATAATACCACACATCTACAACCATCTGATCTTTGACAAACCTGACAAAAACAAGCAATGGGGAAAGGACTCCCTACTTAATAAATGGTGCTGGGAAAACTGACTAGCAATATGTAGAAAGCTGAAACTGGATCCCTTCCTTATGCCATATACAAAAATTGACTCAAGATGGATTAAAGATTTAAATGAAAGACCTAATGCCATAAAAACCCTAGAAGAAGACCTAGGCAATACCATTCAGGACACAGGCATGGGCAAAGATTTCATGACTAAAACACCAGAAGCAATGGCAACAGAAGCCAAAATAGACAAATGAGATCTAATTAAACTAAAGAACTTCTGCACAGCAAAAGAAACTATCATCAGAGTGAACAAGCAACCTACAGAATGGGAGAAAATTTTTGCAATCTACCCATCTGACAAATGGCTAATATCCAGAATCTACAAAGAACTTAAACAAATTTACAAGAAAAAAAAAAAAAAACCATCAAAAAGTGGGCAAAGGATATGAATAGACACTTCTCAAAAGAAGACATTTATGCAGCCAAAAGACACAAGAAAAAATGCTCATCATCACTGGTCATCAGAGAAATGCAAATCAAAACCACAATGAGATACCATCTCATGCTAGTTAGAATGGCAATCATTAAAAAGTCAGGAAACAACAGATGCCGGAGAGGGTTTGGAGAAATAGGAATGCTTTTACACTGTTGGTGGGAGTGTAAATTAGTTCAACCATTGTGGAAGACAGTGTGGCAATCCCTCAATGATCTAGAACTAGAAATATCATTTGACCCAGCAATCCCATTACTGGGCATATACCCAAAGGATTATAAATCTTTCTACAATAAAGACAAATGCACATGTATGTTTATTATAGCACTATTCACAATAGCAAGACTTGGAACCAACTCAAATATCCCAGTGATAGACTGGATTAAGAAAAGGTGGCACATATACACCATGGAATACTATGCAGCCATAAAAAAGGATGAGTTCATGTCCTTTGCAGTGACATGGATGAAGCTGGAAACCATCATTCTAAGCAAACTATCACAAGGACAGAAAACCAAACACTGCACGTTCTCACTCATAGGTGGGAGTTGAACAATGAGAACCCATGGACATAGGACAGGGAACATCACATGCTGGGGCCAGTCACGGGGTGAGGAGCTGGGGTAGTGACAGCATTAGGGGAAATACCTAATGTAAATGAGGAGTTGATGAGTGCAGAAAACCAATATAGCACATGTATACCTATGTAACATACCTGCACGTTGTGCACATGTACCCTATAATTTAAAGTATAATTAAAACAATATTAATAATAAGAAGGTGGCCTCTGGAGTTGGTTGGACCTGATTCTAGTCCTGACTCTGGAATTTATTAACTATATGATTTTAGGAAAATTATTTTTCTGAGTTTCAGTTTCTTCATCTGTAAAATTAATGTAATAGCACCCACCTCTTGAGGTTGTTTTAAAGACAACATGTAAAGAGATCAATTTGGAATTAGTATTTAAGACAGATTGGAGAAGCAAAAACGTGTGGGTAGGGAACAGTTACAAATCTATTGTAATTACTAAGCCTAGACAAAGATAGCAAACCATAGACTGGAGACAGTGGAAAAACAGCAAAGGTAAAGAAGTAGGACAAGCGACTCACTCCATTCTCATTCATCTTGCAAATTCCTTTTTTTCTGTTCATTTAACATGATCTGGGAACCTAAAACTACACTTTGAAGTATATAGTCTGTCTCTGGACATTATCAACTGTTTGCTCATTTCCTTAGAGCTACAAATAACCATCTACTCTCTCTCTTCACCATTTCAACATCTGCAATATGTTCTCCCCAATACCTTACTTCAGTCAGTTAAAAAGCAAAACAAAACTAAAATTATCCATCATTTTACACAATATTTTCAATTTTTTCTTTGTAATTTTTTCCTTCATTCTTACACTTGCCAATCAGGCCTCCTGCAAATTCCCACGGAAGCAGGGTTCCCTAATTAACACAAAATTCAAAAAGAAAACCAATCCTGCCATTTCTGGGCTTAAGGAAACCTGAAACTTTCCTTCAAAACTCTGCTTTTCCTTCAAAGCTCAGTACTTTAGTGCCTAATTCCTACAACGAGCTAAGATCAGAAAAATCACTACATAATAGGAATCTCAAAATGCGCAAGGCTTTGAGAACATGGGTTTTCAACATACAGCTTGCTCTTTCAGGATCTGTCTTCTTATTTGCATACATTTCTGAGCAGGAAGTTATGCGCAGCACTTTTAGTCTCCGCGTGAAAAGGTCTTTCATGCTAATCTAATTCAATTCAGTTCTCCTTTTTCTTTCTTCTTCTCCTCTCTCTCTTCTCAGGGAAGGAATCGTCAAAAATCAATGTTTCAACAGATCTCGCGGTGCTATTCGAGATTCCCTATTAAAAAAAAAAAATAGAATTGATGCAAACAGCCTGTTCCTTCCGGGGTTTTGGGCTGGAACTGCAGCGCTTAGAGAGCCCGGTGGAAGCTGCTAAAGGCGGAGGCGGGGCTCTGGCGAGTTCCCCTTCCACCTTCCCCCACCCTTCTCTGCCAACCGCTGTTTCAGCCCCTAGCTGGATTCCAGCCATTGCTGCAGCTGCTCCACAGCCCTTTTCAGGACCCAAACAACCGCAGCCGCTGTTCCCAGGATGGTGATCCGTGTATATATTGCATCTTCTTCTGGCTCTACGGCGGTAAGGAGAGTGGGGAGTCCACCTTTGTTGTTTTCCTACATACCAGTCCTCTGCTGCCCCAGAACCATTAAAATGCAGAAGTTCCTCTGGCAGCTTCTCCTTCGGAAGACTCATGCATCCCCCACCCCACCCCTCTTCTTCCCTTTTTTCCCTTTGTTGCATCGATTTCATTTTTTTTTCCCCCATAGAGTTCAGCTTTGTTTGCTTCGTGACATTGGGGGGCACATTTCTCCTTTGAAGGAAAACGAAAGCTACCAAGTTTTGGGAGGTGAGAGTTGGTGCTATACGGTCTTTAGGGTTACGTGAAGTCAAGTAAAATCGCACACTGGTGAGTTTCAAGAGTGAGACATTTGATGAATACGCCCTAAGTACTGAGGCAAGGAGGAGTGCACTTCGGTAAAGGATGGGGGTACACGTGCTGTAACTGGTGGGGTTTGAGTGGAGGCCCACTGAGGCATTGTGATTATTCTGGGTGAGTGAGACCCTGGTAATAGAGTTATTTTGAGAGTGTGTAGAAGAGAGAGTGGTTAACTTGAGCTTAAAGGCCTGTTAGAACTAGACAAACTGGGAGGGGAAGTTGGGAACAATGACGTAAATTTTTTTTTACTTAATGTAACAAGAGATTCAGCCTCCCCCCCCCCCCATATTGTCCCTTATTTTGACTTTTTCTATTTTTTCAAAATATTTTACTTTTAAAGTTCCCTCACTGCTTCAAATATATTGAGAACTCAGTTGCTTCTTGTGTAGTGGCAGGCTGAGTGGCTGCTGCTTCAAATGGTAGGATTTTCTCCTTCATGGATTCACTTACTCTTAATTTAGAATAACAAATTTTCAGCAGCTGTCGGGAGAATATGATAAACTGGGGTGCAAGGATGAGTGCATATTCATGATAAATGAAAGTACTTCTGCCGGGCGCGGTGGCTCAAGCCTGTAATCCCAGCACTTTGGGAGGCCGAGACGGGTGGATCACGAGGTCAGGAGATCAAGACCATCCTGGCTAATATGGTGAAACCCCGTCTCTACTAAAAAATACAAAAAACTAGCCGGGCGAGGTGGCGGCGCCTGTGGTCCCAAAAAAAACTAGCCAAGGAGGTGGTGGCGCCCGTGGTCCCAGCTACTCGGGAGGCTGAGGCAGGAGAATGGCGTGTGAACCCGGGAGGCGGAGCTTGCAGTGAGCTGAGATCCGGCCACTGCACTCCAGCCTGGGCAACAAAACGAGACCTGTCTCAAAAAAAAAAAAAAAAAAAGAAAGTACTTCTGCTTTTCACAACTCAAGAGAAAGGCAGACAGTGGCGAGAACAAATGTGTGGGCTCAGGGTGTAGAATATAGGAACCCCTTCCTTCTTCTTGAGCTGCAGAGCAGAGCTAATCCAGGTTGTGTGTTTTTATTTTTTGGCTTGTTTATTTACACCTGAGAGGATGTGGAATAGAACTAGAGGTTATGTTAAATCACAAGAACCTTGATATTTGAACTTTGTCTTCTCTGTCCACCGTGTGTGGATGTGTTTATGCAATTTTGAAATATCAGAAAATTTAAACTGACGTTTTTTGAACAAGTTTAGGTTGAAAAAAAGAACAACTTTTATATTGCCTTTGGACTTCATTTTATGAGCCTCTTACTTTATTATTTTCCATACATATTGTCTAATACTTCAAAGTAAAATTTGAGTTGCTCAGAGTCTCAACTCAATCCAATAATTGTAAAGTCCAGCTTAATGCCTTTAGTTAAACCCCTAATGAGACTGAACAGATCAGGCAGTTAGTTTTGCTTTGGGAGTCATACAGTTTCAATACTGTTATTTATCCTTTGCTTTCTCCTTCCTCTACCCCTCCTTCAAAAGTAGATTCAAGAAGAAACTGCTTTCAGAATTTCTATTCAAGTAAGAATAACTGCACCTCTCTTTGTTAAGTCTTAAGTTTCCAAGAGGCTTAGAAATGGCTGCTGTCTTCTATTATTTCCTTTATTGGATTCCATTTTTTTTTTTTTTTTTTTTTTTAGATTTCAACTTTTATTTTAGATTCCAAGGGTACATGTGCAGGTTTGATACATGGGTATACTGTGCAGGGTTTGGGGTACCATTGAACTTCTCACCCTGGTAGTGAGTGTGGTACCCAATAGGTAATTTTACAACCTTTGCCTTCCTCCCTCCCTCCTCTGTAGTCTCCAGTGTCTATTGTTCCCATCTTTGTTGGACTCTATTGTTGAAGACCATGCAAATGGCAGATGTTTGTGGTATTTGTATTTTATTTCAGTTTTTTAATCATGGGTAATTAGAAATTTATCTACTGTAGTAATTACAGTTCATATGAACCTGTTATCAAAATTCTACTTCATAATACCAAAATAAATCCTTGCTTTATTATAATATTACAACACTTTTAAATAATACTAAAACAGTGTAAAGTGAGTACTTCTTTGTAACATGAATGGAGTGGTGATTATTTACTTCAGAAAGGCACTTTTCAGTTTGCTGTACTAAAGTTTTCCTTTAAGATTGATGCCCTATTTGTTTTAATACATAAGTTAGAAAGTTTTGAGCAAATATCCTGATGGAACCCTACAATTGCAGATAGTGAGATACTTCAATTTGAAGTGACTAACTTTAGTTGTCTGAAGAACAGTTAAAAGCTTCTTTGCTTTGGATTGGTAGTAGCAATTTATAAATAAATAATGACTGTTTCTTAATCTTCCTACTGATTGTTATTTAAAAAAAAAACAATAATAGATGTTATACTGGTTATACTGGGCCAAGTGGGGGATCTGGATCTGTGATAATTGGCAAGACAATGTTAACTTATTTTGTCTATATCCCAAGAGTCTTTGTACCTCATAGCCTTATTTAAAAAAAATGTTTTAAAAAAGTGGCCTAATAGTGAAGAGTAGCACTTGCTTCTTAAAGGTTTAGAAATGAAAACAAATATGTTGGTCTTTGCAATGGATTCCATTTTTAATTTTTATTGCTATATCATAATTGCACATATTTATGGGGAACATATGATATTTTGATACATGCACACAATGTGTGATGATCAAATTAGGGTAATTAGGATATCCATTACTGCAAACATTTATCATTTATTTGTGTTGGGAACATTCCAAATATTCAAGCTGTTTTTTTCTAGCTATACAGTAAATTATATTGGTAACTATAGTCACCCTATTGTGCAATTGAACAGTGGATCTTATTCCTTCTATCTAACTGTAGTTTTGTACTCATTAACCAACCTCTCTTCATCCCTCTTTCCCCCTACCCTTCTCAGCCTCTGGTAACCACCATTCTACTCAATATCTTCATGGGATCGACTTTTTTAGCTCCCACCTGGGTGAGAACGTGTGATATGTCTTTTGTCTTTCTGTGTTATGTCTTAGTTCACTTAAAATAATGTCCTCCAGGCTCATCCATGTTGTCACAAATAACAGAATGTCATTTTTTTATGGCTGAATAATATTTTATTTTGTGTGTGTATATGTATGTGTGTGTGTATATATAATATACATAATATATATATCACATTTCCTTTATTCGTTCATCCATTGATGGACACTTAGCCACATATCATAGTTATTTTGAATAGTTCTTTAATAAACATGGGAGTGCAGATATTTCTTTGATATACTGATATCCTGTCTTTTGGATATATACCCAAAAGTGAGATTGCTAAATCATGTGGTAGTTCTATTTTTGTTTTTTGAGGAACCTCTATGCTGTTTTCCATGGCAGCTCTAGATCATGTGGTAGTTCTATTTTTGCTTTTTTGAGAAATCTTTGTCTTGTTTTCCATAGCAGCTGTACTAATTTACATTCCCACCAAAAGTGTACTAGTATTCCGCTTTCTCAGTGCCCTTACCAGCATTTGTTATCTTTTTGGTAATAGCCATTTTAATTGGAGTGAGATGTTACTCATTATGGTTTTGATTTGCATTTCCCTGATGGTTAGTGATGCTGAACAGTTTTTCTTATACCTGTTTGCAATTTGTATGTCTTCTTTTGTGAAATGTTTATTGAAATCATTTGCCATTTTAAAAAATTGGATTATTTGTTTTTTTGTGGGTTTCTTTTTTGCTACTGACTCCCTTATATATTGCACATATTAATCTCTTGTCAGATGGATAGATTGAAAATATTTCCTCCCATTTCTAGGTTTCTCCTCACTTTATTGATTGTTTCCTTTGCTGTGCGGAAGCTTTTTAGCTTAATGTAGTTCCATTTGTCTATTTTTACTTTCATTGCCTGTTTTTCAGGTTTTACCCAAAAAATCTTTGCTCAGACCAAAGTAATGGACTTCTTGATGGTAACCATAATAATGATAGTCAGTAGAAACCCTTAAGTATGTCAGATACTATCTCATTAAAAAAAAAAAATCCTTTGAATTAAGCACTATGATTATCTCTATTTTTCAGAGAAGGAAATACAGTATACAGGTTCAAAGAGTAAATAACTTTCTCAAGGTTACACAGTTAGTAAGCCATAGAGCTTGAATCCAAGCAAGATGTTTGAATCCAAAGAATATATACTTAACCACAAAGAAATGCATCCTCCCAGTGATTTATGGCAACTAGTAGGCATGAGGAGATAAATTTGAACATGAGGTAAGAGGTAGGGGAGGAAGTAAGTCCTGTAAGTGGAAGAAGAGTTGCCCGGGCATGTACATATAGGGGAATAGAGAAATGGGCAGCTAGTGTGTAGGAGGGATATTATGTCTAAAAGGGAATGTCAGTAAGAAGGGTAAGTGACTGTTCACCCAAGGCCAAGAAGATAGAGAAGACCTACACAGTTGGAAAGCCTAAACTGGTCTGGTATAGGTCAAGGTATAAAATTCAGGCCTTAATACTGTTTAGTTTAATGGGAACCATTTAACAAGAATGCAGCTTCCAAGTTGTCTGTCTATATGAAGTGATTTCTGCCTGTTCAGAATTGTTTATGCATGTTTTAACTCACTGTGACACAGAGGTATATGCCACGTTTTGTTTCTTGAAATTGTAATGCTTTGTAAATTTA